CATACTCAAATAGAATTTTTTTTTAAAAACTCAGAAGGAAAATTATTTAATTAATGGTCATAATGATTAAATTTATAATAAAATCAAAAAATCATTATCAATGAGATCGAACAGATGAACAGGACCGCTCGTTAATAATTGGTTGTATATTTAATTTTTGATTTATATAAATAATAATTAAATTATTTCTTTGAAATCAGATTTTTTTTTATTTTTAAATTTTTTAATTTTAAAATAACGTGTAAAATTTTTTTTAAAATAACGGAAAATATGTAAATTTGTTTTTGATTACTAAATAGATAAAAAAATTAAGAAAAAACCGTTTTTAAGAAAATTTAAAAATTTGATGTCCTTTAAATTTGAAATCAAAAATATAGTTTTCATTCAACAATCCATCAAGAATTGGATCAGATTAATAGGACCGATCGTTAATTTGGTTATTAATATTATTTTTAAAGCTAAAAGAAAGATTGGATTTCAAAGAAGATTTTTTAATTTTAAATTTTTTAATTTTAAAATAACGTGTCACAATTTTTTTTAAATATTTTCAAAATCGATAAATTTTGTGTGTGTACAAATTTCTTAAAATTAAGAAAATATATGATTTTAAGAAAATTTAAGAATCAAAATTAAATTTGACAATCAAATGTATATAGTTTATACGAAATTCCATATAATTGTTTAATTAATGGAAATGACAAATTTAATTTAAACTTTCAATCTAAAATGAAATCATCAAGAATGTTTTTTCGTTGTAAAAAATTCATTTTAAACTTAAATAAAGAAAAACAAAGCATATATTTGTGGAGGAAATCAAATATATATATTTATATATATATATATATTATTCCGAGGTAAACGTCTATTTACGACAGTCTCCAAAAATACAGTTAGTGATATCACTAAGGCTATCTTTGTGATATATTTAGAAGAAGATTTCTGTTAAATAATTTTTTCAGCTTAATCAACCCTCAAAATTTTCTTTTATAAATTTTATCCAACTCAATTATTTTCAAATTTCTTATTCTTTTATTCTTTATCCATTTTTCATTTCTTTTAGATTTATTTATATTCAATCTGGAAACATCTGATTAAACTCTAATTTTTATTTTTTTTTTTTTTTGCCTTGAGATCACTTTTTTCCGAGATTCCAATTTTTTTTTATCAGATGATGAACGCTTAATAAACAGCTTTTCATGCATTATTTCCTTCTTACTGTTCAAAATTTATTGATTAATTAAGAGTTGGCGTAGATATAATAAGTTGGCCAAATTGATTTATTTCTATTTCTCATCAGGAGGTTTTGCGCCTATGCCAAAGACTGAACTTTCAATTAATGTTACTTTTCAGATGTTGACCCCTGAACCCGGGGACGAGCAAGTCAAAATAAATGTGTAAAATATTTTTTAATACTAGGCCACAACGTCAACGAAAAATTTTGGTGGTAGATAATGAATTTTTTGAAAAAAAATATTATTTTTTTTGAACTTGTTATAAGCAGAAACTGGAAGGAAAATTAGCAAAAAATAGATTTTTGAAGGAAAAATGCGTATTAGGGAGAAATATGTTTTTGAAACCCATCAATGATCCAACAATGAAAATTTTGTTCCCATTAAATAACCATGCAGATGACACAACCATAAACACCTGACCAAAGCAAATCTGAAAACCGATAACCAAACCTGGCAGTTTGCTTTGAAAAGGACCTCCAAATTGTAGATTGGGGCAATGAATGGTTTGTAAATTTTTAACGTATCCAAAACAAAAAAATTCATTAATCCTTACATTTTTTTACAATCTTGCCATCAGAATTTCTGATGCTAAAGTTAACCTGCAAACTCTACGCAAGAAGGCGTAAAGTGTTGTTGAATCAATAAAAAACATCACGTTTTCCACCGGCATGAACGCTTATATCAAATCAATTGCTACATCTTCTGCAAGGAAAGTTGGATCTCTGTGTGTCAGAAAATTTTTATCGTTTGAATCCATCTTGCATGTTTATAAATCTACCATTCGTCCGTTACCGTTGCCATGATTGGTCAGGTGTTTGATGTAGATCTCGGATTCTCGACAAAATCCAAAGAAAGATCTGTACTGTTATCTGTCCTGACCTGGCATCTCGACTTCAGTCAAAAAAAATCGACGTGAAATTTCCTCTGTCTTTTCTAAAAATATTTTCAGGACAACTGCTCCGATGAGCTTTTTACCCTGATGTCCCAACATGAATTTTATTTTCTAGGTAGGTCTTATCTGTCTTACTATTGAACTAATTTAGATGCAATTACCACTTCTACTCCAACAGATTTTTTGAATTTCCCACCTGGAATGCGTTGCAATTTCAAACTGGAAAGATTTAAATGCAACGTCAATTCCCATCTTTTTACTTGAACCCTGTTTTCTTTTTTGTCCTTTCCTCCATCCTCCCCATGATTCAGTGTTTTCATTCTTTTCACTTTAACTCCTGTAACCACCAAAGCCACCAGTGGCACAAAAACCTTTATTGGATGTGAAAGGATTAAAAAAAAAAGAATCATCAAAACTGCACCCATTGCCATTCATTGACGCTTGCTTAATGTGTTTGAAAACGAAACAGTGGGCGTGAACATGGCTCGGCGCTGGGTAACAATTTTCAGAAATAACGACATCTCAGTTTCTCGTCTCTGTCAGTGCAGATCATTTTACGAATTGATTTCATGCAAGTTCTTTCGTCGTTGATGAAAATGCATTGCCAGTGGTAATGGTAATTAGCCGTTTACTTATAAGTTCTTTCGGCATTCAATGACCGATCAAACAGTGAATTAATTTCGGTTAAAATTTATAAAATTTCGATTAAAACAATTTTTCATCAAAATAGGTTTTCTCAAGTTCAAATAAATTTTAAGCTTTTTCCAGTACCGAACGAAGTTTAACATTTTTTTAATTTTTATGGAATGTCAGGGTTTTATCGGAATTATTTTCTCTCCGAGTAACATCTGCTATCCACTTTAATTGTTACTGCTGTCGAAAGTCCTAAGTAATGTGTTTTCTCTTATTTGGTAAGTTTTCATTTTGTAATATCGTTGCACCACTTCGGGTTCGAATAACAATGGTTTTGGCTAAAAGTGTTTTTTCATCCATCAAAGCATTTTAACCATTGATCTAAGTCGACGATTGTAATAGACGGACAGTTTATTATTAACTCAATGAGTCAGACGACATACATGACATCCATACAAAATGTTGTCTGAGTTCGACGTTATTTAAGAACACGTCGAGAATTTAGGTTAAGACTTTGCTTTTATAGAAATTTGCTGTGTTAGGTGAAACTAACCCTAGCACAACCTATTCTATGTTTAATTAGACCTTATTTTCATATATCTTTAAAAATTTGTTATGAAACTTGAATGATGTTTGGAATCGTAAATTCGATTGGGATATGAAAATGAAAATTAATACACCAACCTATTCCCACATTTGTATAACTGCAGAGCATGGTCTAGGGAAGAATCACCTTTCTCCTAGTATTGATGAATTTTAAATGTTTCCATAGTAAGTCCTGAACGAAGAGTTACCATACAACATTTGAGGAGGCAATATGTCCTCAACCAAATGGCGGAAGGAAAGTGGACTGAAATCGAGAAGCTGTTTTAATGGAAATTAACAAGAATTCTCTATTGAGGTGGATATATATTGTGAAGTTAATGATTAAAATAAGAAATACAATTTTCCAACTCTTGCGTTGTGGTATAACGGACATCGTTTCGGATTAAGAAATCCAAGGATCGAGTTCGAATTTCAGTCCGGTTCATTACATTCACTGACACGTAAATCCCGTTGGCTAAAAGGCATATATCTATCTCTTCTCCCGCCAGCTATGGGTTAAATAGCAGGACAGAATGTGCCCTATAACCTTGGTTGGCAACCAGTCTACTGCAAAAAGAAACGGCAACCTACCGCGGGAAAATCTTCTACCTATTTCAATCATGAATCGAGAAATACGATTGAACAAGCGTGTATAACGGATGGAACTTAACTGAGTGCCTTGACAATTTTCGAATCAAATATTTTAATGAAGAGAAAGAGTTTACGCTTACATTTCTGAAATTAGAAATTATCATTGTATACATTTGGAATAATATCCTCATCCTTGTTGTTTTACCACCTGATCGCCTTCTGTCTCAATTTTCTGGGATGAAGACTTATTTACACTATTTACATTCACACTAATATGCTTCTTTTTACTGGCATTATCACAAAGTTTAAGCCATTCAGCTCTCCGGCTTTCATCAGGTGCTTTTATATCCAGATAGCTTTCAATTTCGAACTGAACCTTTTTTTTCCAGGGCAGGTTGTTCTTGTCAAGGAATATCTTGTTTCGTTGTTATTTAATGATATTGGGTAATTGCTCATCTCTTTTCCGCTAAATTCAGGCCTGCACTCCCGGGAACAGGGAGTGAACCCACAATTATGTCACCAAATTACAGAATGATTTAATGCACTAGGCTCTTGATTTTTTAACTTTTTTTTTTTTACTAATCATCATAGAATTCAAGGCCCAAGAATAACTCAAGGTAGAGAGTCAATATGCTTTAAGAGCATAAGAAAAAGAAAGAATTGAAGTTCATATAGTTATGTCGGAAAAATAACGGCTAACCCTAGACTTAAAGATTGTAGTGATCGGGAAAACAACCTACCGGGAGTCTGTTCTTGGGAGGAATCTTTCCGGGTGGAACTTCCTCCTTACTAAGGTAATAAGAATGGTATGAGGATGATTCATTCGTTAGTATGTGGCAAGGCAGGTCCCAGCTAAAAATTTCAGGGCTGACGTGGCCAAGCAATGTAACTCGTCGGAACATATGCTCTGGAAATAGCGACGGAATAGAGGGATGCTGATGATGGTCTGGAAATAGAGACGGACTAGAGAGAGGCTGATGATGGTCTGAAAATAGCGACGGACTAGAGAGAGGCTGATGATGGTCTGGAAATAGCGACGGACTAGATGATGGTCTGAAAATAGCGACGGACTAGAGAGAGGCTGATGATGGTCTGGAAATAGCGACGGACTAGAGAGAGGCTGATGATGGTCTGGAAATAGCGACGGACTAGAGAGAGGCTGATGATGGTCTGGAAATAGCGACGGAATAGAGAGAGGCTGATGATGGTCTGGAAATAGCAACGGATTAGAAGAGAGAGGCTGATGATGGTCTGGAAATAGCGACGGACTAGAGAGAGGCTGATGATGGTCTGGAAATAGCGACGGAAAAGCCTTTCGTCTGTGGGAACGTATTTGCTGGGTGAAAATTAACTGAATACCCACATGGAGGCGTAGACGCTCTTGAATATTATCAAAATAGGTAAGTGAAGAGTGGACAAGCCCAGCCTAGATATGGCTGCAATAGTCTATTTTTAGTCTGATCTGGTCCTTGTAACATGGAGTATGAGAAGGGGCGCCGTGTAAAGAAGTGAACGTTTGAATGAATATGAGTTCCAAATGTGGTCTTGTAAGTTTAATCAACAAAAAGCTAAATCATTGGTTTGTTGTATTTTTTAATCATTTGAACTATTGCTTGTATATAGACTGTTGTTAGATAGATAGATAGATAGATAGATAGATAGATAGATAGATAGATAGATAAGCAGACCGAGATAGATAGATAGATAGATAGATAGATAGATAAGCAGACCGAGATAGATAGATAGATGAGATAGATAGGATAGATAGATGGATGGATAGAGAGATAGATAGATAGATATATAGATAGATAGATAGATAGATAGATAGATAGATGGATGGATGAATAGATAAAGATAGATAGATAGATAATAGATGAGATAGATAGATAGATAGATAGATAGATAAACAGACCGAGATAGATAGATAGATAGATAGATGGATAGATAGATAAATAGACCGAGATAGATAGATAGATAGATAGAGGACTAGATAGATAGATGGATAAGAGACTGAGATAGATGGAGATAGATAGATAGATGGATAGATAGACCGGGGATAGATAGGATAGATATTTTGAGACTGGGAGATAGATAGATAGATAGATGGAGATGGATGGATGGATGGATGGATAGACCGAGACCGGGATAGATAGATAGATGGATGGATGGATTAAGAGACTGAGATAGATAGATAGATAGATAGATGGATAGATGGATAGATGGATGAATGGATTGGGAGACCGATAGATAGATGGATGCATGGATGGATAGATAGATAGATGGATGGAGAGGATGAGATAGATAGATAGATAGATAAATAGATAGATAGATATCGACTGGAAAATATATCAGGATCGAAAGAAACGAAGTAATATAGATTGATTGTAAAACGTGAAATAGAAATATATAAGCTGAGGAAGAAGGATGGAAATTAAATTGAAACGAAAGAAAGAAATAAAGAAAAAAAAAGGTACTGGAAATGGGAAATAAAGAGAAAAGGGACTGAATAGAAGTATAAATCGAAGCAAAGAAAATAGATAGATAGATAGATAGAAAAAGCTTAGATAGGAATAAGCTGAGATAGATAAATAGATAGATAGATAGATAGAATCTACTAAAAAGACGATCATCCATTTATTTGATAGCGCCATCTACCATCGACAAAAGAGAATATCTTTTTATGAGAATTTAATTTGATGGCAGTGGAAGAAAATGTTTTTTTTTTACACTTGGCTGCATTTTGAACGGTCTTAAAATCTATAAAACCTTCTGTTCTTCACAGTCATTGTCTTGAAGGATTGCAGAGAATTTTGATTCGATTCCTACACACTTCCTCGTCACCATCTTCGTTTCTCTCTTCTCTCCACACGTATGGAATTCTTTACCAAACGCGTGCACAGTAGATGTTCACCTAAACACACACGCGTTATCTCTTCTTCTAATAAGTACATAAACACCACAGCCAGAGTAACAGTAATGCTTTCTATATCGTATCATACGCACTTGCATCATTTCACATATCTGTTATTTTTTTTTTTTGTTATTTACATATATTGGAACATTATAAGAATGGAACAAATTCAGTTTTGTGATTTGTTCAGTAATTCGACTGCATACATTATCAACATACAGTGATACCTCGCCCAATGTCATTTCGAGTTAAGTCATTTTCGAAGATACATCGGTTTTTCTTAAATATGATATGGAAAAATAAAACTCGCCTTACGTCGTTTTACTCGACTTTACGTCGGTCGTTAAAAATATTAGAAACTTCCAAACACTAAAATAACAATAAACGCATATATAATCATATTTAAATAAATTTTAAAATATTATGTATACTATATATATATAGAAAAAGTTGCAAAAAAAAATAATAATGTTTTATTTTATGAAAGTATTTATTTATTTATATATATATTTGATATTTCAAATTGACCTCAATCTTTCTTCAGAAATAACTGTTTGTTTACAAATAAAGTTAAGCGTCCGTCGCGAGACGCGAAACGTCACGTGATATGAAACGAATATTCCTATATGTAAACGTAACTGTTGATAATAATATCTTAGATGTTGTTTAAAAAAATAAAAAAATTTTAACTAAATAAAAAAATAAAAAAATGTTTAACTATTGAAATATTTATAAAGATTTTAAATACCCAAGTCTTTATTTAACCCTAGTTTACATGTATTTAATTTTAAAATCCAGTATTTTTCTTTTTTTCTGCGTGTGTATGTGGAACTGAAATCAGAATCTATCAATAAACATTTACAGTTTTCTAATGAGTGTCCTGATTGATTAACGTGTTCAGCTATGGGGGAGTAAGGATTGTTTTGACGTATGGTTTGTTTATGATTGTTGAAGCGAAATCTAAAATTATTTTCAGATTCACCAATATATCCACAAGGTGCGTAATAAATAGTAGATTATGTTATGGCTATCACAGGTGAGGTGAGGTGGGAGTATCTTGATATTGGTGTTGGGTACAGAAAATGCATTATCTATTATTAAGTGTTTGCAAACTAAGCAACGAGGTTTGTTACATTTGTAATTTCCTGATTGGTTTCTATTGTTTAGATATTTGGTAGAGGTGAGGATAGCTGATAGGTTAGGTGATTGTTTCTTTGCATTTATGGGTGGTTTAAAAAAATGTCTTTGATCTTTTTGTCTAACTGGAGGTTCTTGTAATCCTTTTTTAAATTGTGAATAAGTGTGTGGGAATATTGATTGTGGTTAAAACCATGGGAATCTGATTGTTGTTTTTATTTTTTCTTGTATGTGAGAAGTGTGTTACGATTTATGCGGATAGTTTTATTTAGTGCTTCTTTTATTATTTTTATTGGGTATTTACATTTTAGGAATTGTTTTGTTAAGTTATTAATGTTGTATAGAAAATCTAGATGGTATGAGCATATGCGTTTGATTCTTGGAAATGAGCTGTATAAATAGATTTTTTTTTAATTTAAAGGGATGACAATGTTAAATTTGCAGAATTTAAACGTTGGTTTTTGGTTTGTTTTATAGACTGGTAGAAAGTGTATGTTTGTTTAATTTTATCATAACGTCTAAGAAAGGGATGGATGTATAGTGCTCCATGGTAAATTTAATTTTATCGTTTTTTTTGTTGCAGAAAGTGAAAAAGGTTTTAATTTTTCTGATCCATGAGTCCATAGTAAGAAAATGTCATCGATATATCTGAAATAATGTGATGGTTTAAATTCTGAATTGTTAAAGTATCTTCCTTTTCTAGAATGTGCATAAAAAATATTAGCATAACTTAGGTGCCATTTTCATTGCCCATTTGCTGTGCCACTAATCTGTAAATAGTGTTAATTGTCAATTTAAAATTATTATTGTTAAAATAAAATTATATATATATATATATATATATATATATATATATATATATATATATATATATATATATATATAACTTATAGATTATAGGCAGCAATTTTTTCAATAACTATATATGTTTTCATAAATTATTTAATGAAACTTTTTTGATTTTCATTTTTATATAAATTTTGTCTATTTATTTTAAGTAAGTTTTTGATTTCATATTGTTTAATAAGTTAATAACATTATCGTTGAAAGACGTTAAAAGAAAACACCATATTGATACATGTTTTTAAATCCAATCTAAATTTTCGGCTTACACAAGCAATTATCAAAGATGACAATTTCAATAAATTAAACAATACACGGACGAAAGAGCAATGATAGTCCGTGTTTGTTGCATGAAAATTTCATTTGTGTAACGACAAACTATCCACCAGGCGATATAAAACTTGGAAAATCGCGATAGCCCTTGTGACGTCACACATGACCACGAGAGTGAAAAACGAGAAGCATTAAGTACAAGGAAGCCGTTGGTATAAATACCAGATTTTTAGACATTTAAAACAGCATGTCTGCCTGCGTACTCAATTCCGGAAAATCTTTGTTGACAACACAACTATACTTAACATTGAAAACAAAAAACAAAAAATAAAAGTTTTTTGTGCTTTATAAATAAATGAAATAAATATATAGAAGAATAAATCTTGATCGGTTCCACAAATATGTGGAAAATGCCTATTTTTAAACAGAAAAATTTATATATTTAATGAGTTAGTTCAAAAATATTCCTGGAATTTTGGGTAACAATTAAAATAATATATATGCAGGATGTGTGGTGTGGTTTAACGGATAATGACTCGGAATGAGAAATCAGGAATAATGAGTATATATTTACAGTCAGGTTCATACAATTCGCTTTCGCGCAGATACCCTGAGAAAATCTATGACTTCAATTTATTCTCCCCACAGCTGGGGCCTATAGTCTTGGTTAACAATGCCAAATGATAAAGGAATCAAAAGAAAAATAATGAACTGGTCGTGTATCCCAGGTGACATCATGTTCAGTTTGATTCTTGTAATAACAGAGTCTTAGTCGTTCTGCTCTTCAGCTTTCATTAGATTTGGAACTTAATTCATCATTCAATCCAGATTTGTCCTCATTTCGCTTTCCGTGCTTAGGAAACACTTATTGTCAGTTAATGCATAAACAAGCCAATACCAAAGGAAAAAAAGGTATAAAAAAAAAAGAACCAAGAAGATGTACGTTATAAAAAATAATCGCCCAGCATATCAAGTCAAAGGTCCATTTGAAAAAAAACCCCGATGCAGTACGAAAAATACCTAAATATTTTGCTCAATACAATGAGTAAAACAGACCTTATTAAACTTTTAAAAGAGCGTTATAGTTTCACCTAAGCGGATCGTCAGGGAAGGCTGGCTTCCTGACGATTTATGAAAATGAAACCTATGGTAGGTTATCTAACTCTCTTTTTTAATATATATATATATATATATATATATATATATATATATATATATATATATATATGAAAAAATAAATAAAAAAAACAGAGAAAACGTTTATCAATCTAACATGATTAGTTTTATTAAAGGTCCGTCAGAAACTGAGATATGGAAAAAAAGAAAGACATTCTGCTATTTTTACATTTGTATTATTTGATTTTCATGAAAAACAACAACAAATATAATGTCTAAAAAATTACAAATATAAATTATCATCCGATGTACACTTAGATAAACTAGAACTTTTATAAACGTATATACATATTGCAATATTTATATTTTTTGGGGGTTTTTTTTGTAGACATCGAGTCCATTAAATTCTTGAAAATTTGGAGGGGCGCGTCACTTTCCATTGAATTCGGAACGCCGCAAATTATACGAACGTTTGTTTAAAAGAGTCGAATGCACATGATACCTGATTGACAAATGAGCAAGCAACACAAAAGTATAATAGCAGAATTTTTTCTATTTCTCTATGTCTCAGTCAATGACGAAGCTTTGAATAAGGGATCGAACCCACAACTTCCAGGAAACCAGATATGTTTGAACAAATGCTTTAATCCACTATGCTCTATGTTCCTTGGACGATTTAATGGCGTCATTTTGAAGCCTTAAATTAGATGAAGAGGGCACTTGAGGCAACAGAGATGAAGATCTACAAAAGGATGCTGAGAATTCTATAGATGAAGCATGTAAGCAACGAGGAAGTTTGAATAAAAACGGAAACAGAAAAGACAATATACGTATAATAAGAAAAAAAAGCACGTAGAATTTCAGGTCACAAAATGAGGAAAAAAGGCTTCGAAATTTTAACACACCCATAACATACTGAAGGCTATTAGAGAGAATTAATTACCTATCCGACGAAGTTGTGCAAAATGGATGGCAGAACAGAGAGATATTAAAATATCAAAGATTGCTTGGAGCTACAAAGGATGGGATGTTGTGGAGAGCCATGATCACTAACTTTCTGAAGAGACGTTTCAAAGAGAAGAGGAAGTATTGGGGGAAATTTAAACTCATCAATCCTTGTGGGCTGAATCCTTAATGATAGATAGCCAACACAGGAGGATAAGATGAATGAAAGAATCAGCTTATATGTTAAGAACTGACAACCTCTTCAGTAGACCTAGCAGGACGATAATTCCAATCTGGAAGGCTCTGATTGAGAAAGAAGGAACTCACAAAATAAATTTCACCCCCAAGATACTCATTATTCCATCAGTTGATTAGTGTTGATTGAAGAGTCCGGTTACTGATTAA